CAAGGAGCCCCCGGGGCAGCAGCGCGCACGGGCCCGGGCCTGGCCCCGCGGCCTAGTTCCGGTGGCTCAGCCGCCCTTTCCCGTTTCCTTTCACGTTTATTTTCCCGTAGGGCGCCAGGAGGATCCAGCTGGATGAGGCTCTGCGGGAGGATCTGCGGGCGGTGCTGCTGGAGGCGCCGGGGAGATGCGTTCCCTACGCTGTTATCGAAGGTAGGGAGGTGAGGGGATCGTCCTCGCGGGGTGGGTCCCAGCCCCGGCCCCAGGGATCAGGTTCAGGGCCTGTTCTCTCTCCTGTCGTTCTCAGTTATCGAGGGTTTCCTCAGTCAGTTTTGCTGATGCTACCGAGTTGGGCAGGAGGGTTGATCTGCCTGAGGGGAGGAAGGCTCTGCTGAGGGACCTGGACAGGCTTGTTGAGGCTAAATGGATGAGGTTCTTCATCCTGGCCACATGTCAGGTCCTGCACAGGTTGTCACAACCACCCCGAGCAGTGCTCCAGGCTTGGGGAGCAGGGGCTGGAAAGCTGCCCCTGGTGAAGCCATGTTGGCTGCCACCAGTCACCCCAGGATGCCACCAGCCTCCCTGGCCACGAGGTGAGCTTGTTCTCCAGGTTCTTTCCACAGAGCTGCTCTCCAGTGGGTCAGCTCCTAACCTGCCCAGGTTCCTAAGGTTGTTCCTACCCAGGTGTAGGACCCAGGTCTCCCTGGACAGCAGCACAGCTGGTGGATCCCACTCCTTCTAGTTGGGAATCATCAGCAAACCTGCTGAGAGGACACACTGTCCCTTCATCCAGGTCATTGTGTTGCTGATACAAGGGCAGGTTGGATGGAGTTTGGAGCAACCTGGGCTGGTGGGAAGTGTCCCTGCCCATGCAGGGGGGTTGGGACTAGATGATTCCATCCAACCCAAACCATTCCATGTATCTATGATCACAACCCTCTGCCTCTTGGGCACTTCTCAACCCCTCACTGCTCCTTCATCCCAGCCACGTTTCCTGAGCTTCCCTGTGAGGATGTTATGGGAGATGGTGTCCAAAGCCTCTCTGAAGGGGGGGCAGACACCATCCAGTGCCCTGCCCAGCCCAGCTCCCCCTGTGCCCACCAGGGCAACTCAAAACACTGGCTCAGGCTCTTCAACCCTGAGTGTGATGAAAATTCACCAGCAGAAGATGAACGAGCACCTCTCCCCTGCTTTGGGTTTGTCTCCCAGGTGTGGTGAGGTCTGTGAAGGAGACCCTGAGCAGCCAGTTTGTGGAGAACTGCAAGGGAGTCGTTCAGAGGTTGACTCTGCAGGAGCACAAAATGGTGTGGAACAGAACCACCCACCTCTGGTATGTGCCTGGCACCCACCAAACATCCAACCCTCAGACCCCTGGGTGGGGGGACAGGCTGGAGTGGCCCAACCAGAGCCCTTAAGGTGCCCCAGACCCCACCCTGGTCCCGTTGCAGCTGCCAAAATGGGGCAGATTTGGGTTTTTAGAGTCCATGTAAGGGCTGTAGATGAGGAGCACGTAGAGTGGGCAGAGCATTTCTGAGCAGCTCGAGGTTGTTGTTACAGAGGTGGCCACAGGATGGTGTTTCCCCAGCAAAATGACACCTTCAAAACTGAAATTCGGTTGGTTTGGGACGATGGGGGGGGGTTAGAGGGGACAAAGAGCTCTCCTGGTGGTGGTGGGAGCCCATGCTGCTTCCACAGGGAGTGGGGAAGTGTTGAGGTGAAGGCAGAGAGCCTGGGGCACACCTGGACAGCACCACGAGGGTAGAGGTGCTGCTCTCCAGTGAGTGCCATCCAAATGAACTTCCCTCAGGGCAGGTGACAGCTGGAAGTCCCCAAAAAAGCTGGTCAGCCCACGTGGCCTTTCCCTGCCAGCCCTTGGGGAGATGTTCCCACTGGGATGTGCTTCATCCCCTTCCATATCAATGCCTGGAAGGGCTCCAGGAAACCTGGGGAGGGACTTCTCACCAGAGAGGGCAGTGAGAGGACCAGGGGTGATAGTTTTAAACAGAAAGAGGGGAGATTTAGGTTGGGCATGAGGAGGAAATTCTTCATTATGAGGGTGGTGAGACCCTGGGACAGAGAAGCTGTGGCTGCCCCATCCCTGGGGGTGCTGGAGGGCAGGTTGGATGGGGCTTGGAGCAACCTGGGCTGGTGGGAGGTATCCCTGCCCATGCAGGGGGGTTGGATCTAGAGGATTTATAAAGATCCCTTCCAACCCATCCCATGGTTCCCCAGGAATGACTATGAGAAGATCATTCACCAAAGAACCAACACCACCCCCTTCGAGCTGGTGCCCCCCGAGGACGGCGCCGCCGTCGCCGTCAGGGTGATGAAACCTCTGGAGGCCTCTGAGCTCAGCCTGGAGACTGTCCATGAGAAATTCCACCCTTCTGTCCAATCCTTCACCGACGTCCTGGGCCACTACATCAGTGGGGAGAGACCCAAGGGCATCCAGGAGACTGAGCAGATGCTGAAGGTGGGCACAGCCCTGACAGGGGTGGGAGAGCTAGTCCTGGACAACACCACCATCAAGCTGCAGCCCCCCAAGCAGGGCATGCCCTACTACCTGAGTGGGGCTGACTTCTCTTCCCTGCTGGAAAAACAAGAATCCAATGCCCGTTTCTGGAAAATCCTCACTGTCCTGTTTGGTTTTGCCACTTGTGCCATCCTCCTCTTCCTCCTCCGGAGGCAGTACCGACATCACCGGGAACAGAAGCACCTCAGGCAGATGCAGGAGGAATTCCGCCAGGCCCAGGAACGCCTGATGAGGGAAATCAACCCCCAGGGTGGAGAGACCCTCAAAAATTCCTGTGTCATCTGCTTGAGCAGCCCCAAATCCTGTGTTTTCCTGGAATGTGGCCACGTCTGCTCCTGCACCCAGTGTTACCACAGCCTTCCTGAACCCAAGAGGTGCCCAATCTGCCGCCAGGTCATCGCCAGGGTGGTCCCCTTGTACAACAGTTGAATGTTGGGGGTCACCTCAGGGATGGGGGGTGGAGGGGAAAGGGGCAGGGAGAAGTTTTTTGGCATTAAAGCTGCAAAGGTGTTTGTTTTTTTTTCTGGCCTGGCTGCTTGGGTAGTTGGTTTTGGGGCAGAGGGGGCTTCAGATGGGGTGCTGAGCTGGCTCTTCAAAGACTGATCCAGGCTCTCCAAAGGCTGATCCAGGCTCTCCAAAGGCTGATCCAGGCTCTCCAAAGGCTGATCCAGGCTCTCCAAAGGCTGATCCAGGCTCTCCAAAGGCTGATCCAGGCTCTCCAAAGGCTGATCCAGGCTCTCCAAAGGCTGATCCAGGCTCTCCAAAGGCTGATCCAGTCTCTCCAAAAGCTGATCCAGTCTCTCCAAAGGCTGATCCAGGCTCTGCAAAGGCTGATCCAATCTCTCCAAAGGCTGATCCAGTCTCTTCAAAAGCTGATCCAGGCTCTGCAAAGGCTGATCCAGGCGCTGCAAAGGCTGATCCAGGCTCTCCAAAGGCTGATCCAGGCTCTCCAAAGGCTGATCCAGGCTCTGCAAAGGCTGATCCAGGCTCTGCAAAGGCTGATCCAGGCTCTGCAAAGGCTGATCCAGGCTCTCCAAAGGCTGGTCCATCTGATTCAGGCTCTTCAAAGGCTGGTCCAGCTGATCCAGGCTCTCCAAAGGCTGATCCAGGCTCATATCCCACCCTGGAAGTTTTTTTTGGGAGAGATGAGGAGTCTCAGAGCTGCAGTTTCAAGCTCTTCCTGACAGAGTTGGACTCTCAAGGTTTGTGTTGGGGGTTATTGACATGCCCAGCTTATAAATACCTTGTGGGGGAAAAAAATATCCATTCTGTGGAATTCTGGTGATGCTGCCACCTGGCTCAGGGACTCACAGAGCAGGGGGGTGGGATTTGAGGGAGCTCATGGTGCCAACATGGGTCATTTTGTGACCATCCAGGACATCAGGTCGTGACCAGATCACAACAGGGAAGGAAAACCACAGTGGCTGATTCCTGCCCTTGGCTGGAGCTAGGATAGAAAAATGGGATGTGAAGGAATAAAATGGGATGGAAAGTGTGTTTGGTTTGGGTCTTTAACTGGAGGGGAAACCCAGTTTGGAGTAGGGATGGAGGTTGGGTTGAGGGGGGTGGATCAGGTCCCTCTGTGCTAAATCTGTGCCCAACCCCTTGTCCATAACAGTGCCAGAGCTCTCAAATTTCCCCACAGAATAGGAAAATTCCCTTCCCTGACTGTCCCATTTTGCCAGAAATCTGCTCCTGGGGGGGCTTAATGATCCCCAAGTGACACTTCAAGGAATATTTGCTGTGGAGGGTTCAATGTCACCACAGGGTGGGTTGGGGGGAGCTCCTGTTTTGGGAGCCTGGAGTAAGAAGAGTGAAAATTCCTGGGACTGAAGCATCCCCTGGGATTTGAGGGAAGACCCAGCATGTTCCCCTTCCCTGGAGCTCCCCAGCACTCTGAAAGGGAAGAGTTTTCCCTCGACTCCTTGGAAAACCAGTAGATTCAACACAGAAGTGGGTTATTTCCTTGTTAAACATTACCAAGCCTGGCTGGGCAGTGTCCAAAGGCCACTTGTGCTCCCTGGCACATTTCCCAGCAGCTTCATTTCCCAATGGAAATTCTCCCAAGGAACAAAGCCTTGGTGCTGGGAATGGCCAGGAAAAGGCCTCATCCAGCCCAGCTGCTGGCTGTAGATGGCAGTGCCTGCCCAACAAAACCCTGCCTGCAGCAGGAAAAGCTGGAATCCCACTGGGAAAAGCTTGGATCCCAGCAGGAAAAAGCCCAGATCCCAGTGGGAAAAGCCAAACTCCAGCTCTCTGAGGAGACATCCCTTGCTCTCCCCACAGCTCTCACCCTGCCTTGCCCTCCACACCCTTCTGCTGCTGCTGCCAGGAGATGAAACCTCCTTTGATCAGCAGCTCAAAGTGCAGGGAGGGAATAAAAACCAACCAAACAAGGAACTCCCAAGACGTTCCCAGAGGGAAAACTCTCCCTGCTCACACACAGAACACCCCCCTCTCCTGATCCAGGCCCAGCTGAGACCCAACTCCTTCACATAAAAGCAATTTTCTCCTTTAAAATGCACATTTGGAGGCTTTTTTTTCCATATTTGACCACTCATGGATGGCCCCCCCTGTCCCCTGTGTGTCCCCATCTGTAGTCACAGGCCTGTCAAGCCCCT